AATGAATGAAAGAAAGAAAGAGAGAGAGAGAGAGAGAGAGAGGATGTGTTCGCAAAAGGCAATTCTAACAAGGCACCGTGTATACGTAACCGAGGATGCGTGTAACCAGGTACGTTGGCCCTCTGAACCCAACTTCAAGTAAAAAGTAAAAGAAAGATAAAGACAAAGATAAAGAGAAAGAGAGAAAGAGAAAGTATATAAGTAGTTACGTAAGAGAGAAAGAGATAAAAAATAAAACACGTTATATGTTGAACGAACGGTCCAAGGGGACAGATTATAACTGCATCCTTGAGGAACGATCCTAATGGGATTTTTCTAAAGGATTGTAAGTAGTAGGATAGGAAGTACCTACGTATTCCCTCTCCTACCTTGGAGTATCATCTTCAGCCCTTTTACTGAAATCTTTCATACAGGAGGAGTAGGACGTCATGAAAGTGGGATATTGATAAGCGTAAAGCAGCAAATTCCCGTAAGGATTACCTTACCTCTTTGCTAGACATAAATATATATATACATATATATAATAACATAGTTATATATGAGTGTGCGTTTATGTACGATTAATATCTTAGTATGTTGGATAACGTAATATATGATGATTAATATCAATCCATTAAGAGATTTATTAATTATTTGAAAATTTGTCTGATGAACATTTTTCTTTCAGTGATTATTTGTTAATAAATATTTTTTTTTTTTTTTAAATGATGCTGAACATTAATGATAATTAATAATGTAATTAATATTTAACATATCTTATTATTAATACGTTTGGTATATAGAATGATTAATAGCATCTATCTATTAAGAAATTTCTTTATTATTTGTTATTAAAATGAATGTTTTATAATAGAAATAATTAATTATAGTGGAAAAATTTGTGGTTTCTTTAAAAAAAAAAAAAAAAATTAATAAAGAGTAATATATATATATATATATTAAATAATATAAACAAATTTGAGAGAGAAAAAAGAAACCAACAAGCTAAATAAAAAATTCGATTAAACATAATATTTGTTAAATAATGAACAGTGTATCAATAATATAAAAAATTCAATTAATAATAAAGAAAAAAAAATAAAGAAAGAGAGAGAGAGAGAGAGAGAGAGAGAAATAAAAATAATAAAAAAGAAGGTACGTTTGAAGTTTGAATAAAAATTTACAAGAAGATAGAGATAGAGATAAAGTGAAAGAGGAGGAAATACGGATTTTATGTAGTAAATTTGATGTTAATCCTTATGGTAATTCTTGCGTTACGCTTATCAATCCCTCTTTCCAACGATTAGCTAAGAATTGAGGCGTGAAGCGAAAGAGGAAGAAGAAGAAGAAGAAGAAGAGAGTAGAATCTCCTAAGCTAATCCAAGCAAAAAGAGCATGGTTGTAGTCACTCGAGGGAAATAGAGGGAAAGAGTGAAAAAGTGAAAGAAAGAAGAGGGGATGGGGAGGATAAGATGAGATAAAAAAAAAGAAAAAAATTGATAGAATGTAGTAGTAGAGACTATGCGAACAGTTACAGTAAACTCGTACTCGTTGTAGCCCCTACAGCTTACTGCCGACTATAGATGGCATCAAGAAATATCCTCCAGAGCCTACTGTAGGCCACTAACGAAATTATATACATTATCCAGGGACGTAGAAAGGTTCAAGGAATCTACCAATACCCATCAATGCCATCCACGGAAATTTTAGTGGGTATAATTACTTTTCAAAGTAAGCCTAATTTTACTGTTTTTTGATTCCGATTTTTGACTGTTCTATTCGTTCCATTATATATTTGGTATCATTAAACAATTTTTTTTTTTTTTAATTATATACGCAGTTTAAAGTTTTTCAAATAGTAATACATATATGTATATATTTATGTTGGGTATCATCACGTATATTTTATCTTTCTCTTACCAAGTTTCTGTTATGAAAGAGAAAAAGAGAGAGAGAGAGAGAGAGAGAGAGAGAGAGAGAGGAGATACTGAAACACTCTTTTTCTAGCTTTCGTATAACTTACAATTAGTCTCTTTTCATTCGTAACGTATTTCGTTGCTTTAGTTCGTAGTTGTTGGCTGCTCTTGCTTTTTACAGTCCCACACGGATTATACCAAAGTTAATAATTAAAACACCGAGTGAGTTTTTCGGTAGGAAAAGTTTGCTGTTTTGCTTCGAAAATAATATAATTAAGAGTTTTTATCCTTGTTTTCTTCTTTCCTTTTCTTTTTCTTTTTCTTCCTTTTTTTTTCTTTCCTATGCACGTTAAGATACTACTTTGGTTTTTATTATTATTATTATTATTATTATTATTATTATTATTATTTTATACGTTTCTTTGATAATAGACAAATTTATAAATCATTTATTTCAAGTAGAAAAATAAATATGTAATATTTATTATTATTATTAAGAATAAATTTGAATATTTTTAAATAGCATCATTGATAATGATGATCAAGTTTAACAAGTTTAATAGGTTGATTTAATTTTATTATTTAAATAATTCATTACTGTGACTTTAAATGTATTATATAATTCTATAAACTATTTAATAAATTGTAACAACACACAAAATAATACCACAATTAGAAAGTAAGGTTATGTTATATGTAAATTGAAATAATTAAATTGCAATACACCGCCATCTATCGAATATTTAAACAACCTAGGGACCTAGATAACCTTTAAATAATAAATCTTTAAATTTGTAATAAAAAATGCAAAATAATCGTTGAAATAAAACACAAAAATACAAAAAAAATTTCGTTAATATCAGTTCAGTAATTTTGAAGTTCATTGGAAACCAACGTAATGTGACACTGATTAAAAAAAAAAAAATAATTAAATTAATTAAATGAATTATTTAATTAAAATCTCTTTTTAAAATATAAATATACTTATAAATATCTATAATCGATTGAATCCTAATTAAACAGGATGAATGTATCGAGTTATCGGTAAGGAAAATGTTATTGTGTTCAACCTTGTTGTTCTTGCCAACGTGTTGGCAAAGAGGAAACAGTGTATGGTCGACTATGCTTGAGATAGGACACGAGCAGTGAATCATCTTCTCACCTTGATCTTAAGGAACGTTGTCTCTTAGTGTACGAGTTACACCTATACATACACATAACGTTTATGTATACATGTGTATGCATATATAGTATAGAAGTTAACGTAAACGAGTATGCTAGGTTCGTGGCAACTTTGACCCTTGAAGACTTCTATCGCGTGTTAAGATCTTGACTCCTTATACGGGTGCAATCTTTGTGCAATAATGTGCAATTTTAGATGTGCATATTATTGCGGTTTTTTTTTTTGGTGACATTTTTCTTCATAGAATTATTTTTGTTTAAAAAGTTTGTTTACGAGTATGTTTATTCTTTTTTTTTTTTTGAAATGTTCTTTGTTTGTTAATTCTTTTAAAGTATTTGACAATAAAAATTAATTACAAGTTTAATGTGTAATTGAAGTTTAATTTCAAATTTGTATTTTTTATTTTTTTTATTTTTTATATTGCATATATAAGAAATTGTTTGTCAAGATGTTAATCTTAATTATAATTAAACAATAAATATTAGAATTTATTTTCGAACAATGTAATTGAAAATAGAAAATTACAATTTGTTTTATTACAAATTGTAAGATAGGTTAATTTTTTTGGTTTCTTATATCAAAAAACAAATTGCAATTGATTCTAATGAATTGTCAACTTTGTATTTTACATCGTAAATAGAAAATAAATTAACAATTCGAATGATTTGTCAAAAAACGAGAAGAATTTTTTAATACAATTTAAATTTCTATTATAAATCGAAGATATTTAATTTCTTTTTACATCACACACATGTTATGTATGTATGTGTATGAATATATTTGTTCAGATGTTTATGATAAAAAAAAAAAAAAATAATGAAAAAGAAAAAGAATGCATTTAAAACAAGTTTTAAAATGATTCTTTTTGAATAATTAAATGGAAATGGAATTGAAGTTTGAGTTATAGATCGTAAGGTTTGTAGATTTAAAAGAGTAGGAGGAGGGTGTGGGGAGGTTCTCTTTTACATGGTTAATTTAAATGATTTTTCTTTCTAATTATAATGGCAGATGGATAGAGATACTAAACGTTATTTCGCTTACCCGTAATAGCGTACTCGTTTAATCGTGATAAAATCTCGTTTGCTCGGCCAGTCGGAGTTCTTAGTTGGATGGAAGGAACTGCTTTTCAAGCTGCACGATATCTTACTCGCTAGAATAATTTAATTGATGTCGAATTCAAGACATTCTAGTTTTCTAGTTTTATGTTTCTTTCTTTATTTCTTTTTCGAATAGATACAATAATCGTAGAGTATTAAAACATATTAGTTTTTTATTTTTTTTTCGTACGATATTATATAAATTAGAATGTATGTGTAAAGTGTTCACATTAAATGACAGTCGTGTACAAAAAAAAAAAAATTAAATTTTCAAAATTTAATTTAAATTAATTTAAAGTTAATTATTGAATTAATTATTTAAATTAAATTAATTTATTAAATTTCATTTAAAAATTTAAATACGTGTTTTTTTTTTTAGAAATGTATTAAAACTTATTTCTGTATTATATATAATTTCTATATTATATATATGTATATATAAATTAATTTATATTATTAATAATGAATAAATAAATAAATAAATATAATAAATTATAAAAAATTGACATAGTAAGTTTTCAATGTTGAAACAAATCCAAAAATAAACAATAAATTATTAGATAGTTTTAATCCTTTAATTAATATGAGCTCATTTAAGCGTCCAATCTAAATTTTATAAATTTGTTCCATCAGTTTTGTTTCTATTTTATTTTCTTCCATTTAATCAAAAATAATTTGAAACATAAAAACACCAAAAAATCATCCGGTTTTCGATGATTGCAAAAAATTAGACTCGTTTCACATCGAAAGGATTAATTTGATAAGCGTTAACGTGTAATGTATATACATATATATATATGTGTGTTTGTATATAATATGTTTCAGAAAACAAGTGGCAACATTTTCGTAACGATCTATACATGGGTGATGAGCCAAGTAGAAATTTGAGAAGCGATACAACGAGAAAGCAACGAGTACAGGCACGTAAGAGGTTAGGCGAGTTGAAGAGGCGTAGGAAAACGAAGGATAAGAGGAAACAAGTGCCAGAGAAGTCTCTATTGGGAGTAAACCCTATGGTGTCGGATGTCGGTGGCTTGAACGAAACTTTGATGTCAAGATTGGATCTAAGTTGTCTCATGAAGGCTCGCAGAAAGGTTCTTATCAAAGCACCCTCGGTCGTTAATGCTCAACCTCCGAGATATGCTAGGTCCGTTTTTAATCTAACCCTTTTTTTCTTATTCCTTTTTTCTTATTTTACTTTTACTTTATGATCATTCTTTTTATCTTTTTGATCAACTCTTTTATTTCCTATTTTTTTTTTTTTTATATCTTTGTTTTAGATAAAAGATAGACTCACTATTCTTTTCTTTTTGGTTTTCCTTTTGCGTACGAGATGATATTCTGTTATTACAGAGAGAATAATTTTTTTTTTCTACGACATTTTTCCTTTTTTATTTTCTTTCTTTTAACTCGTTTGACTTTACACGCACTTCAAAGTTGGATAATGAACGGTAAAATAGTCGTTTGTATTCCATTTGACAATATTTTTTATTCGTTTCGTTTTCTTCGAATGAATTAATAGATTAATTTTTTTTTTTAGAAACATTTTATCTTTTCTTTTCTTTTCTGTTGGTGCTTTCTTTTTTTATCTAGTTTATAAAAATATTTTGTATGTTTTTTTTTGTATTATAGAAGAACAAATGCTTTGCCACCATTCAATCGATACTTCGTAGCAGTTTACGAATGTTTGGAGGAATTCGTTTTTGAGGATTCAATGGCTGATAGACTTTTTTGTAGCGAATCAACTTGGCTTGGTCGTGTTCCGAAATGTGTGAAAAAAGAAGGTAAGTAATGTGTTAAATTATAAAAAAAAAAAAAAAATAATAATTAAATAACTTGTTACAAATGGCCATAATTTAATTTCTCGATAAGCTTTTAAAACGTTGATTTATAGTTCGTTGTTAGAAAAATAAAATATAAATCAAATAATATATAAATATATTTTATTTATTTAAATATTATATAAATTTAAATAAATATTACGTAATATTTATTTTTAATTTCATTTCATTTTATTTATTTTAATAATTAATAATTTAATTATTTTTTTTGCTAAATTTATTTAATTTTATTTTATTTATTCTTTATATTATAAATAATTTAATTTTTTTTTTTTGCTAAATTTATTTAATTTTATTTTATTTATTCTTTATATTATAAATAATTTAATTTTTTTTTTTTGCTAAATTTATTTAATTTTATTTTATTTATTCTTTATATTATAAATAATTTAATTTTTTTTTAAATTTATTTATTTTAATTTAATTTAATTAAAATTTTACTAAATATTATTTTTATTTTCTTTTAAATAAAAATTGCGATACGAACCTATATAGAAGTAAAGAAATTAGTAAAATTTAAAAAAGATTTTTTTATTTTGGAAATTGATAACTAAAGGTAGATTAGGTAACGTTTGATATTACATTAAAGTCGAGTTTTTATTATATACATATACATATATATGTGTGTAAAGGTTTTGTATGGTATAAAACGAGTATGTGTGCCGAATTCGAATCCGATTCGTTGGTTAAACTTTTTGTTACATCACAGATATCGTTTCGTTTTAGAAACGATAATCGATAACGTGGTACGTTGCGATCAGGAGAGGGGTGGTTGCGAACACGTATGCGAAGATACACCTATTGGTCCAAAGTGTTCCTGTTTCGATGGTTTTCGAATCAATGGTACCACCTCTTGCATAGGTAATATTCATTTTTTATCCATTTCTTTCTCTCTTTTTTTTCCAGTTTTCAATTAATCTAAGTCAATCTATCTAAATCTTAAATCAATCAATCGATTACAATTTAATCGTACACCTCTGATTGGTGTTACTGAATTTTGTTGATAAATTTTCAATGGTACTTTCAATTAATTAATCAAAAAAGAAAATAAAAATGTACGTATGTGGATTTATTTAAATTTACTAACAAATATTTTATATTATTATTTAATATATATATATATATATATATATATATATATATATATATATATTACAAATTGATTTATTATAGATTAAATTATTTAACTATTACTTTTATATTTTTATTATAACAAATTTCTTTTTTATTTTACTAATTGGAAATATTGAACGAATTTATTTCACTGATGAATTGGAATTTTCTTTTTTTTTTTTTTTTATATTAAATCGAAAATTCGTAGATCAAATTTAATAATAAAATATCCTAATTGTATTTTAAATTAAGTGTGAGATAAATTTATCAAATTTTTATATCCAAATTTTGTTTTACTTTTTGATTTTTGATTTTGATAGAAAAAACATGGGAATGGGGAAAGGGTAAGAAAAAAATGAAGAACACGTGGGTTTATATCAGATACCCTAAAAATTTTAAAGATATAGACCTGATTTTCTTTTCTAATATCCTGGGCTATGTTAGCTGACAGGCCTCTCGTAGCTCGTAATTTTCTTCACCCACGTTTTCTTGTACCAGAAAAGGGGAGATTCTAAAGTTAGAGAAACGAGTGATCTTAGAGGGCAAAAGGGGCAGGCAGAGAAAGAGAAAGACAGACAGAGAGAGAGAGAGAGAGAGAGAGAGAGAGAGAGAAAGAGAGTGATCTTCTGTCCCTTAAAACTCTCGACATTCTTCGAATGTCCAAGAAATATTATTATTATGTTTTATTTTCTTGATTTCTTGTACACACGTGACACACGGTGAACGGGTCTTTAGCAAACGTTTACGGTTTTGCAAATAAATTTCAACGTTTAACGCATTCCATGGTTCCGTTCGTTCTAATATTATTATTTTTAACGCTTCGTGAAATTTTATTGCAAAGACGAGTAAAAAAAAAAAAAAAACAAAGAATAATAGAACAAAAATAATTTTTTTTTTTTTCCAACAAAAAAATAACAGAGCCTTCGTGATTTTTTGATATTTATTTTTAACACGTTTCCAAATTTAATTTTCACGGTTTGAAAAATATGTATATATGTATATATATATGTTTAAACTTTACAGTTGAGAGAGAGAGAGAGAGAGAGAGAGAGAGAGAGAGAGAGAGAGAGATTTTAAATAGAACCAAAAAATTCGATAAAAAAAAAAATATAAAAAAAAATCGTACAAATTTGAATGAAAAACGTTGCAGAAAAATTCTAATCTCTTTGCGCGAATACATTTATTTTTTTTTTGTTCAACCACCTTTTATATTTTTTTTTTTTTTTGTAAATATAAATGTTTTTCAATAATCTTTTTACTTTGGATAATATTATTGGATCGTTAAAGAGCTCGAGAATAGTAATCGATTAGTTCGTGTAACGTTAATCGGAATATTATCAGTTTACACAGACGAATTCGTTAGTAATTATAGGAACATTTATTGAATCGGCACGTGCCAATCGGGCATTAATCATCGTCAACTTGTTTTTCATAGAATTTCAATGAATCCAATGTACATAGAAATAATTTGTTTCGTATGAAATGCCACGTGAATACCATTACATACACGAGTATTTATTTGCATTTTGTAATCATTCATTAATGGATTCCGTATTATTAATTAACCTACGAATAAATAATAAATCATCCTGAACATATTGGATATACTACGAATAATTTTGTATTTTTTAATATCTTTTTCTTTTGTTTTGTTTTGTTTTGTTTTAATTCAATTTCATTTTGTTTTACATTAGACGTAGATGAATGTTCAGAAGGTCTGGTCAAGTGTTCAGATTTGTGTCTGAATGATCCTGGTTCATATCACTGTGAATGTCATTCTGGATTTCAGCTGTCATCCGATGGACATACTTGTCAAGGTAAGTTTTTTTTTTTTATTTCAAAACAAAATCAAATAATAAATTATTTGTCATTTTTTTGTGGTGATCAATCACGTTGATTTGCACGTGTAAGCAATTTTTGCGATAATTAAAATACAACATTGTACACGTAACTTTTATCATATTTTTTTTTATCGTATTTCCTAACGTTAACTTGAAATTTTTTAACAAATTATTTAACAATAATAAATTAAGTAATTAATTAATACTAAATATCGGTCAATTTAATTTAGAATTTTTTGATAAATAAAGACACCAGTGATGGTCTGCGCGAAAGAAATAAAAATCCAAAGTTAGAATGACAGTGGCTAATATAAATATTATTAACTATATTATTAACTTTATAGTACTATATATATATATATATATAGTATTAATAATTATACTATTACTTATACTAATATTATCTATTAGTATTGTGATATTAGTATTAATAACTATATTATTAACTTTATAGTACCTATTAACTACTTGTAATAAATAAGTTACTTATAGTAGTACTAAAGTATTAGTAGTAACTTATTTATTTTCTAAAAGTATAATAACATATAAAAATATAATAATTTGTGCTAAATATTTCCAAAAGTTTCATGACAGTATATAAAAAAAATGTCTTAATATTTACAAACTTTTCTGACGATTCACAACGATCGTTACTTGACACGTAATGTCATAGTAAATAAAAAAAATGAACCAAAAAAAAAAAGTGAAATTCTTTCGATTGAATGCAATTATGAAAAAATGATTACACCTTATTTTATTGTCAGAATTTTTCTTTTTTATATTTGGTTGTCGTTGCATCATCGAACGAGCAACAACGATTGTACGAGGGTAAGGTTTCGAACGAAATGTAGCAGGATTTTCGTTTAACGTAGTCGACAACCGTTGATCGTGTCGTTTTCAACTACATTACTCGTCCATTGAATGAACGAGCTTTCAACGAGGTTAACCTTCTCGCTGTTGGCGAGTAAAGAGCTTGCGTGCTGTGGGACGCTCGTTTCCAGCTGCCGATGGATTGATTTCATTTTGATTTACGCGTGTATGTGTGTATATATGTGTTTTACGTATACACGTACGTGTGAATACGAATATGCGAATGTAGACGACACGTCGTTTTTTCGGAACTTTTTTTATTTTTTTTTATTTTTTTTTCTTTCATTTCTCCATTGTATTGTTTTTGAAATTTATATTCTTTTTTTTTTCAATTTTTAAAAAAAGAAAAAAATTAAAGTGCGACGAATGAATAATGGAAATGGTAAAAAAAAATGTTGATCGTTATTTTCTTTCAAGGAAGGTTCACGTTATTTATCTAAATCGTTATTTTTAAACGAAAATGTGAGTAATATTTATTTATAAAGGAGAGAAACAAAAAATATCAGATTGTAATATAAATAGTCGATAATAAAATATTACGTGCAACGTAACTTTTGATCGATACTGACCATTTGTATTGTAAAATATTGATGGAAAATAGTTTTCAAATTATTAAATAAAAATTTATAATATATATGATGCGTTGCAACTCTGACGTAATAAAAAAAAAAGTATTTTTAAATCTAAATATATTTAAAAAGAAAATACGTAGAAATGAAGTGAATACATAGAAATTTTTATTTATAAATGCGATACAAGTTTCATAGCAATTTTATTTTTATTAAAAAGAAATTGATAAATTTAATTATCGTTGAAATTAAACTAGAATATTTCTTCTCATAACAATTATATTATTTAAAAAAATATAAATTAATTGAAATATAAATTATTTTTGTTTTGTTTTATTTTTGTACTTTTTTCTTTTTTTTTTAACAAATCTCGTAAACAGATGTTAATGAGTGTCTACCGAACAACGGACGTGGCCCTTGTCAAGGTACCTGTCGCAATCTCGAAGGTAGCTACGAGTGCAGTTGCACGGATATTCCTGGATTTAAATTGGCATCGGACAACCATACTTGCGAGGACATCGATGAGTGTGCGAATAACAACGGTGGTTGTTCTCACGTTTGTTTGAACACACCGGGAAGTGTATTTTGCCTATGCCCTGATGGTTTTTATTTGACCAATGATTTGAAGACTTGTGAAGGTACGAAATCATCATTTAATGTTAATTCAAAAAAAATAAAGACATTTATCATTCTTATATAAATAATTTGTTCACTTACAAAAAAATTATTTTTTTAATATTTCAGATGTAAACGAGTGCGAAAATGTTTCCAAAGTTTGCCCAGAAGACACTAATTGCGAAAATACGATTGGTTCTTACAAATGTATCAATAAACCCAAAAAAATGACTAAAGTATTGCAAGACGAGGATTATGACACCGAAGATGATGATGACGATGACTATGACGAGAGTTTAACCGAATTACCTGAAATAGGTAAATGTGAGGATGGTTATAGGAAAGATGATAATGGAAATTGCATTGGTAAGTTAATTGTATAATAGTACATTATTTAATTATTATTTAACGAAATTATTTCAAGTATATAATTTCTTTTATTATTTTATTTRTTTAAGATATAAACGAGTGTGTAGAAGGTATTGATGGTGAGACACATGGTTGCGAACATGAATGTAGAAACGAGGAAGGTAGTTTTCATTGCACTTGTCGAGTTGGTTATCAATTGGATGAAGACGAGGTGTCTTGCAAAGATATAAACGAATGTAAAAAATCACCACCACCGTGTACTCACAATTGTACCAATATCGATGGATCTTTTATCTGTTCTTGTCCAATGGGATTTGTATTGAAAGAAGACAATGTCACGTGTTTAGAAGATAGAACCTGTTCTTCTATGAATCCTACTTGTTCACAGGATTGTCAAGATACTATGGACGATAGTGGTCCTAAATGTATTTGTTATCCTGGATATCAGTTGTTAGATGATAACATAACTTGCATTGATATTGACGAATGTATGGAAGACATATCACCTTGTTCACATTTCTGCGTTAATTTAAATGGCAGTTTTGTATGTAAGTGTCCAAGTGGTTTGGTTTTATCTGATCATGACAAGTTCAATTGCACGGATATTGACGAGTGTAAAGAAACGGATCACGGATGCGAACATGAGTGTATTAACATACATGGAAGTTACGAGTGTGTTTGTCAGGATGGTTTTGTTCTTGGTGATGATCGAAAAAGTTGCATTGACGTGGACGAGTGTAATACCATAGATTTAAATCGTTGTTCACACAATTGTACCAACGTTTTGGGAAGTTATCTTTGTACATGTCCAAGAGGTTACGAATTGATAAATGAATTTGATTGCAAGGATGTGAACGAGTGTGACAAAGGAATTCATAGTTGTTCTCATGATTGCATTAACGTGGAAGGTGATTACGAGTGTATTTGTCCTAAAGGATTTAAACTCGACGATGACAGACAATGTCAAGACGTTAACGAGTGTTTGGAAAATCTTCACGATTGTTCACACGAATGTAGAAATACCGAAGGTTCATACGAATGTGTTTGTCCACCTGGAATGTTTTACAACGTAACCAAAAATCTTTGCATATCTTCTACGAATATCTGTGACAACGATAACACTGGTTGTTCTCATTCGTGTGAAATATACGGTGATACTTACAGATGTGTTTGTCACGAAGGTTATTTGTTGCAAGACGATGGAAAAACGTGTTTGGATATGGACGAGTGTCAAGAGGAAGAACACGATTGTTCTCACGAATGTGTAAATACACTTGGTAGTTATAGATGTACTTGTCCACCTGGTTTAGAACTAATCGAAGATGGTTTAACGTGTAAAGATGAAAAATGTGAGAATGGTTTTCGAAGAGATAGCAATAACGTTTGTCAAGATATCGACGAGTGTGAAGAAGAGGATCACGATTGTTCACACTTGTGTATCAACGTTTATGGTTCTTATCAATGTTCATGTCCAATCGGTTGGATTTTAAGCGAAGATCGTTTAACTTGTATCGAATCCAATCCATGTTTGAATGCTACTTGTTCGCACGTGTGTTTACCACAAGGTTCAACCTTCAAATGTGAATGTCCCGTTGGATATGAAATCGATGAAAGTGGTATGAACTGTAAAGACTTGGATGAGTGTGCGAACGATAAAAGAAATAACTGTAGTCATAGTTGCAAAAACTTGGAGGGTTCGTATGAGTGTCATTGTCCTGAAGGATACGAACTCGACCAGGACAATGGCACTTGTATCGATGTGAACGAATGCGAGAACGGTGAACACGATTGCGAGTACGACTTATGCATAAATCTCGAGGGAAGCTATAATTGCACTTGTCCAGAGGGTTACTTTTATTCCGAAGTTGAACGCATTTGCAAGGATATAGACGAGTGTTTGAGGAATAACGAATACAAAATACACAATTGTTCTCACGAATGCGTAAATACTATTGGTACGTACAAATGTAGTTGTCCTATCGGTTGGAAACTCAAGGAAGACGAACGTACGTGCAAGATCAATGACCCTTGCGCGAGTGATCATGGTTGTTCTCATACGTGCGAACAAGAGAATGGAGAGATTCGATGTGGTTGCCCTGAAGGATTCGATATTTCAGAGGATGGGAAAACCTGTCGGGAGATAGACGAATGTTTGGAAGGGTTTCATGCATGTTCCCATATTTGTAAAAACGTCGAGGGTGCATATTACTGTGAGTGTCCAACCGGATACAAATTATCGACCGACGAAAGGACATGCGTTGATATAGACGAATGTTACCTGGAAACGAAAATATGTTCGCAATACTGCAACAACACCGAAGGCAGTTTTCACTGTACCTGTCTAGATGGATATGAATTATCTGAAGATCAACGGACTTGCAAGGACATAAACGAGTGTACGAGGAATCTTCACAATTGTTCGCATGAGTGTGAGAATCTCTCAGGTAGCTATACATGTCATTGTCCGGAATATTTTACCTTGGACGTGGATAAAAGTACTTGCATCGATTTGGACGAATGCTCCGGGAATAACAATTGCACTCATATTTGCGTAAATATTCGTAATGGTTACAAGTGCGAATGTCCCGATGGTTTCAGATTGGAACTGGACAATTGGTCGTGTACAAAAATCGACCACTGTGAAACGCATCATGATTGTTCTCATGAATGTATCAACGAATCGAACGGTTACAAGTGCGGCTGTCCCGTGGGATACGCATTGTCAATGGATAATAAAACTTGCGAGGACGTTAACGAGTGTTTGGAAACTAACAACGAGATTAGTGAGCCTTGCTCGCACGATTGCGTTAACACGATTGGTAGTTACGAGTGTCGTTGTCCTAAAGGATATCAAATTGGTAAAGATAAGAAAACTTGTGAGGATTTGAACGAGTGTATTGAAGAAAACGGTGGTTGTTCGCATTTTTGCGCAAACACGGAAGGTAACTACGAGTGCGCTTGTCCCGACAACTACAAACTACTCGAGGACGATGGAAAAACTTGCGTTGAGATAGACGAGTGTTTGATCGACAACGGTGGATGCTCTCACTTTTGTCAATACGAGAACGGAAACGTGTCCTGTTCTTGTCCCGAAGGATTCGTCCTGGACGACGAGGAGAATAAATTTTGCATGCACGAGGACAAATGTCTGATAGAGAACGGCGGTTGTTCCGACATTTGTTATTCTCTAAACGGTACAGTTACGTGTGATTGTTCCTCGGGATTTCGTTTGTCTATCAATGACAACGCAACTTGTTTAGACATAGACGAGTGTTTGGAAATTAAGGATAACTGTACTCAAAAGTGCATTAACATAGAAGGTGGATTTAAGTGCGAGTGTTACGAGGGTTATCAAGTTAATCCCGATGAATTAAGTTTATGCGACGACATAGACGAGTGTCAGGAAGAAAATGGCAACTGTACGCATTCCTGTTACAACACGGTTGGTTCTTATCGATGCGATTGTCCAACAGGTTACGATCTTCATTCGGATAATAGGACGTGCGTTTTGATCGATGGTTGCAAACGTGACAATGGAAATTGTTCCCATCATTGTTACCATGACGAGAATACCGGGAAGACTCGATGCTCATGCCCATTGGGATTTAGATTGAAACATGATCAACATATTTGCGAGGATATAGACGAATGCGAGGAGTTAGAGAATGACGTTGATACGGGTTGTTCTCATGATTGTGTTAATACAGAAGGTGGATACCATTGCGAATGTCCAACCGGTTATATTCTCATGCCCCAGGACAAGAAGAGTTGTGTCGACGTTAATGAGTGCCTTACAACCATGCACAATTGCACCCACGATTGTTTGAACCTTCTTGGTAGTTACATATGCACGTGTTACGAAGGACACTATTTGCATAGTGACAAATCATCTTGTTTGGATATCGATGAGTGTCTCGAATCGAACGGTGGTTGTTCAGATACCTGTACCAATACAATAGGTGGTCATTTTTGCAGTTGTCCCGACGGTTACGAACTCGGTCAGGATGAGAAAAATTGCGTGGACGTTAACGAATGCGATAAGGGAATTGCCAATTGTCCGGATGCATGTATCAATACTCCTGGATCGTTTAAATGTCAGTGCCCGGATGGTCATATTCTTGCTAATGATTCTCGAAGTTGCATAGACGTTGACGAATGTCAAATATCAAACGGTGGTTGTACACACGCTTGTTTCAACATAATCGGCGGTGTACGTTGCAGTTGTCCAGTTGGTTTACGTTTACACGACGATGGAAAAACTTGTCTCGATATAGATGAATGTAATATCGATAATGGCGGTTGTTCGGACATTTGCGTTAATCTCGAAGGAAGTTTTTCTTGTCGTTGTCCAGATGGTCATCATCTAGATGAAAATAATTTGAAAACTTGTATAGACATTAACGAATGTGAAATAGAAAATGGTTCTTGTTCGGATATTTGTGTAAATGTCATAGGTAGTTACAAGTGCGAGTGTCTTAGTGGTTATCGATTATCCGATGATGATAAAACTTGCGTTGACGTTAACGAGTGCGAAGAGGATAACGGTGGATGTTCTCACGCTTGCATCAATAAACCAGGATCTTTCCTTTGCGATTGTCCCAGAGGATACGAGATCATGAATAAGACCTGCCATCACTCAAATCCTTGCACGATCAATAATGGTGGTTGCGAACAGATATGCAATGACGATGCTGGTACGGTTATATGCACTTGCAAGGAGGGATTTCAGTATGACAAGTCTAACAGCTCGATGTGTCACGATGTGGATGAATGCTGTGGTCGGCACGGATGTGAGCATACTTGCATTAACACTATTGGATCTTACACGTGTGCATGTTGGGAAGGTTATCAAATGCAGAATTCTACTACTTGCATAGGTGAGTTTTAGTATTATATATATATATATATATATATATATATATATATATATATAACTATTTTTCGAATAAAAATTACCTATTGTGCAAATATTATATGTATATCCATTTTACTTTGTATGACTGTAAAATAATATTCTATTCAAGATAGAGATAAATTTGAGAAAAATAATATCATTTTTACAATAGATATCGACGAGTGTGCATCGGGAATTTGTAAGACAGGTAGATGCGTCAATACATTGGGCAGCTATCGTTGTGAATGCGACGAAGGATATCGATCCGAGGATGACACTTGTGTAGGTTCGTGTGCGAAACCTTACCTTAAAGAAATAACGAACAATTCTTTCACCCGTCCCCCTCCCATCCAATAGAAATATATAATATTGTTTAGAAATTACTATGAAATTGAATTTAGATATCGACGAATGCGTCGAGGCTTCACCTTGCCGTGAGAGATGCGTCAATACACCTGGATCGTATCATTGTACCTGTTCACCGGGATTTCGATTACATGGAGGCGAATGTGTAGGCAAGTTTAAAGTGCTTTCCTTTGTGGTGCCTGACTGACACGCGCGATCATGAATTCGAATTCGACACAAAGCACGTAATTTAGTAACTTTATCGATCTAGATATAAACGAATGCGAGTGGCGTAACGGTAGATGCGAACAGGAATGCATTAACACTGTGGGATCCTTCCTGTGCAACTGTCGATCAGGATACGAATTCAATCACAGGTAAATGTGATATTAACAATTTAAAAAATGAATATCCAATGATTTTGCTTTTTTTTCTGTTTTTTAAATTTTCATTAGAATGGTGAATGTTTCTTTTCTTTTTTGATTTACTTTGCCTATGATCAAGTTGAACCAAAAGTTTATAAGTTTGTTGTGTTACAAATTTTGTTATAAATTTAAAATAATGGAATTGCTATTTGTAAAATTTACTTTAGAAATATTAATTAAAATTTTTTTGGTTCAACCTAATATACTATATATAGATAGTAAAAGAAACAAATATTTATATATAATATAATAATATATTTAAATAATAAATTAATTATATATAATAAATTATATAATATTTAATATACATAAATATATTAATTTGTTATATATTATATTTAAATAATATATTAAATAATATAATATATTTAAAAGTATAAACAAAATGAATCCGTTTAGAAAAGATTGCAATTTTTAAATATACATTGTGTTTTATTTCTAATGCAAATTAGTAATTTAATGGTAGACGACAATCGTTAGAACGGGGTAATTAGATTATATTATAGTGCATAATGCATAATATCTCGAGCTGTAACAATAGTTAAGCGTTCGCTTTCAGGAACAGAAGTCAGTGTCAAGATGTAAACGAATGCTTGAACCGGAACGGTGGTTGTAACGGGGAGTGCATTAACACGCTAGGAAGTTACTATTGTACGTGCAACGGCGATTTAGTGTTGTCTTCGGATGAGAGAACTTGTGTCTCGTCGGAATCAAAGTGTCCTGCTATGGAATTACCTTTGCACGCTGAGGTTACTCGATTATTATCTTTATAATTATTCCTTTTTTTTCTTATTTAACTTTAGATTATATTATACGTAATTAAAAACCATTTTAAATTTAAAGATTTGTTTTTGGTTTTATCATATAAAGATAAGAATTTGACAAAATTTATTTTTTTTTTTTTTTTTTTCATTACATTGAAAATTATTAAATGTTTGTAAGATTTCAACAAATTTTCACACCAATTAAAATTTATATTTAATTGTTTATATTAAATTTCTAATTAGTGAATTGTTAGTTAGGTTTTTGTCAAATTTACAAATATTTTGACACCAATTACACAATTTATATTACATTATTTTAAATTTATATTAAATTATAGTTATATTAAATTTTTAATTAATATATTGTTAGATTTATCGTAGAATTTAAACAAATTTTGACACTAATTAAAATTTATATTAAATTTTTTTAGATTTATATTTTGAATTAATATATTGTTAGATCTTTCGTAAAATTTAAACAAATTTTGACACACCAATTAAAATGAACAATTAGATATTTTTTTTTTTTTTATTAATGAACGAATTAAGATAATATAAGAATAATAATGTTATTAAAATTATTGTAAACAGATAAGATGTCCAGGATATTATTCAGGTGCAAACGATTATCCCCAAGGTGCTAGGTGTCACATCAGATGTCAACGTGGATTTAAATTGGAAGGACCTCACACGAGATATTGCGTGACCGGTGGTAGATGGAACGGAAAAGAACCAGTGTGCCTTCGTGAATACTCGATCGTTGATTCTCGCTATGATCTAGGTAATAACACGTGTTCAATTTTTAAAAGAAGATTCGATTACCAATCTCAACCATCGTTAAACCAAGAAAATTGCGATATTTCTTAGATAAATATCTCTTTCTCTCTCTCTCTCTCTCTCTTTCTCACTCACTATTTCTCTATCAAATAACCTATACTCGATAAAAAGATAATATCGGTTAGATTATCCTGGATATTTACGCTTCGGTAAACATCATAATTCCTCCTTATTCCAATTAACCAAGATAAAAAACATTCTATTTTATTAATAATTGCCCTATCATTATTTATCAGGTTATCGAAATGATAATTTCATTTCTTTTCATAAATGTTACAAAAAATTGCTAATAATAATTTCTTCGTTACATTGCAAATTAAAACAAAAAAAAAAAAAAGAATCTTCTCACATTTACGCGTTATAATTTATTTTCACAAAAATCAATCGAATCACAAATGAATAAACGAGTCAAGATATTATTCACAATCAAGATTCAGAAATTAGAATAAATCATTTTTTTTTTTTATTATTAAAATCAAACGAAATGTAATGGTTGAAAATGTCAAAAACGTTGTAGAGATTATTTATAACGTTTACGAAAATCATATTCCAAGTGTTCACGTTCAATTAGCCCAACTTGGTCCCTCCCCCCCCCATTCTAAAGAGCTTTTAATAATGGAACCTTCTCTTATGGTTGGGAATTGTAAAAGGCAGGCAGGTTTGCTAACGAGGCCATACGTTAACGCTGGATCTTAATGAGCGTACGAGTAACGTTATAGGTACCCAACCTTTTTTATGTCTCATTTCCACCTTTGACATTTTCCACTACTACTACTACTACTACTCTTTCTCTTCTTCCTATTATTATATTTATTATTATTTTTATTATTATTATTATTATTATTATTATTATTATTATTATTATTATTATTATTATTATGATTTTACTTTGGTATATAGGGTTATTTTCATTGTTTGCTTATAACGATAATGAGAGTTATTTTTTGTATTTCTCGATGAATTATATGAATCGAAGTTTCAGAGATAATGGTACTTTTAATTTCTTCCAAACGCAATATAATATAATAATCTTTGGGTATCGTTATAGGCGTGGGAGTCAAGCCAATTGGCTTGGATCCTAAAAAAGGTATCGTTAGAAGAGTCAAAGTCTTGAATACAGTTCATTTTTAACAGCTACAACACAGAAACAGTGACTATATATTTACATTCACTTTTCCAATCAAGTTTATATTCACTAATAATTTCTAGGAATTCAAATTAGACATAAAACAACATAAATTTTTGATATATATAATATAACATATAAATAACAAAATACAAATGAATATAAATACATAAAATAATAATACACGAAAAAAATATAAAAAGTAGGGTTTGTTATGTCTTATGTAACTCTGAAAAAATCGTGAAATAATTGAATTGTAATACAGCGCCATGTGTTGAAAATTTATAATACTTAAAGACATATAAATAATTTCTAAATAATAAATATATAATATTATAATATTGAAATTTGTAAAGGGAAACTGTATAAAGGTTGTTTGCTATTCAATCAAAATTAATATATCTTATAATAATAATAATAATAATACTATTATTATAATTCTAAATTATTTAGTAAATTATAACAACACGCAAAATAATATTGCAATTAAAATGAAATACATAAAATAATAATACACGAAAAAAATATAAAAAGCAAGATTAGGTGTGTCATATGTAACTCTGAAAAAATCGTGAAATAATTGAATTGTAATACACCGCCATCTATTAAAAACTTACAGTACTTCAAGACCTAGATAACTTTAAAGTAATGAATCCATAAATTAACAATAAAAACTAAAAATAATCGCGATAAAAACTATTCTATATTCTAAATTGAAACAAATCACACAAAATAACCAAAAATAATAATAAAATTAATTAAAACTATAATCAAAACTATATCAAATAATTTAGTTGAAAGTAATATCTTATTTGCCGTCCATTTAACGATCTTTGAAACGTTCATAGTTAGAATCTAGAACGTACGTATATACAATATATGATAGAGAATATATGTGTGTATGCGTATGTGTGTTCTTGAAAGGACAGCCCCCAATCTCTAGTAGTAATTAGTCCTGATTTGTAATTCTATGTCGTAAGAGAGACATACATAGCTCGTCACGGGGGAGGAAAATTGCTTCGGTAGTCTAATGACCACCTTCTATCATGTTACAGACATGCCAAGGCCGTTTGTGAGATGCCCACAGGACATGGATGTTGAATTACCCGCAAGGCAAAATACGATACGCGTTTCCTTCCCACAACCAAAGTCTAATATGAATTGGTGGAGGTAAGATTGGATGATTCATTTTTCCTTATTTATCTTGTCAATTACATTTTTTTTGAATTTATTTTATTTATTTAAACGTACA